ACTCTTTCCTGCCTATGCAGGGGGTCGGACTTGATGATCTATTGAGGTCCCTTCCGACCCTAACATCTATGAATCTATGAACTGGGCTTAATTAGTCTGGAGAATAGAAGACTGATTTAATTGCAGCCTTCAACTGCCTGAAGGGTGGTTACAAAAGGGACTGTTCTGAGGGGTGGCAGATGAGAGAACAAGGAACAGTGGTCTCACATTGTAACAAGGGAAGTTTAGGTTGGATATTAGGCACAACTCTCTCATGAGGAGGGTAGTAAAGCACAGGAACAGGTTATCCAGAGAGGCTGTGGAATCTCCATCCTTGGAGGATTTTGAGACCTGGCTAGACAAAGCCTTGGCTGAGATGACATAGTTGAGGATTGTCCTGCTTTGAGCAGGGGATTGGACTAGATGTGACCTCAGTCCTAAGGAGGGGCAGTGCAGCAGCATAGGAAGCCAAGGGTGAGCCAGGGATGCACAGTACAGCAGGGAGTGGAGGAAGGCTCATGAGGCATGCAGCCTTACAGGGGCCTGCAACTTCTTAAGGCAGCTATCATCACAGCCCATGGGGAACATGGTCCCCCACAGCCTGGAATTTGGAGAGCCCTGTCAAGTACAGAATTTTGTTGGCAATTTTTCTCCAAGGGACTCCCTCCTGCAGCAGTCAGCATCCAGAAAGGATAAATTGTTGAGGTATTTCTATTTTAAGCCTCAAAGTGCAGCCCTAGGCCTAACTCACTGTATGCCATCTAAAACCTGCACTGAATATGAAATTAGCTGTTTCCTCATGAGTTCTGCTATTGTGCTATCATTTTACTACAAATAGCTCATAAAAAATAATATATTTAGCGCAACAATATCTCTGTAAGATAGGATACGGTCATGAACAAAATGGACAAATCTCATTTTGAAAGCTCAGCATGAGTTGTCAATGATCAGATTTTTATGAGTACCTGACATGTTAGCAGCATTTTCTTTGTTCAAAGCATCAATACAATGCCTTTAATTGCCATTGCAGGTATGCAGCAGTTCTGCAACTAAATGTCTCACATGGGAACCCGAAAATTATGAAATTGTGGCCACATAATTCATAGATTGTTAGGGGCTGGAAGGGACCTTGAAGATCACCGGGTCCAGTCACCCTGAATTAGGCAGGAAAAGACAACTGGGGTCAAGTGACCTCAGCGAGGTGACCGTCCAGTCTAGTTTTAAGATTTCCAGGGTAGGTGACTGTACCACCACTGGAGGGAGTTTATTCCACAGTCTGGACACCCTGACTGTGAAGGAATTTTTTCCTGGAATTGAGCCTGAAACAGCCTTCCAGGAGTTTGTATCCATTGCTCCTGGTTTCTCCAGGGGTGCCCTGGTGAACAGCTGTTCACCGAGTTCTTGATCTACTCCCCTGATGCAGCAGTAAGCCACTACCAAATCTCCTCTCAGCCTTCTCTTCTCTAGGCTGAAGAGACCCAACTCCCTCAGCCTCTCCTCGTATGGCTCCTTGTTTTGCAAGTCCCTGATCATACAGGTAGCTCTTCTTCGGACCCTTTCAAGTCTTTCCCCATCCTTGTTGAAGTGCAGCACCCAGAATTGGACGTAGTACTCCAGCTGCAGTCTCACCAGTGCAGAGTATGGTGGGAGTATCACTTCCTTAGTTTTGCATGAGATGCAACAGTTAACGCACACCAGCTTGTTGTTTGCCCTGCTTGCCACAGCATCGCACTGCCGGCTCATGTTCACACAATGGTTGATTACTTCCCCTAGGTCCCTTTTGGCTGTGGTGCAAGTCAAATTGTCACCACGGAGGCTGCAGGTATGTTGGGGATTGTCTGCCCCCAGATGGAGCACTTTACACTTCTGAATACTGAACTTCATCTGGTTCTGGTCATCCCAACTCTCTAGCCTTTCTAGGTCCGCCTGTATCTGCAACCTATCTTCTGGCATGACCACGCTCCCGCTAATTAGTGGTCATCTGCAAACACTTTACTTACAAAGACCTGCCCAACACCACACAAACTTTGGGTAGAGGCAGGGAGATAATCTAATTCTCCAGGGAGGCTTTCCTTTCTTTTTTGGATATCTCCTTCCTCATTCATAACACACATTTAATCTCTTTAACAAACAAGGCAAGAGTCATACAGACAAAAGCCTCTTTTGTTGTATACCAGTTCATTCTTTTAATAGTGCGCTTTTTAAAAATGCAACTTCCTTAGAGCATTTTTTCTTTAAAAAGAAACCAAAAAACTCCCAGAGGTTCCACCATGTTGACCCACCCAGATCCATATGGATTGTCAGCAGGACTGAGATATTTAGATCCAAACACGTGCCATTTGTAGAGGTAATGGGATAACTGGAAGAGTTCTGTTTCCCTATAGGCAGTAGTCAGTAAAGAAGGACAAGGAATACAACTTGCTCCTGCAAGTCAAATACCTCCTAACAGAACAGCAACAAACTTATAGGTTCAATTAAGAATTTTGGAGGAGAGTCTGCTCCTGTGGTTCTAGATCATTGTTACTCTTGCTTGTAATCCAATATAAGCGCTCCAGCCATTTGTTTCCCTGAACCTTCCCAAACCTTTCTTAACTCTTGCCTGAACTCCTATGTTCTTATTCCTCACCTACTTAACTCATCTCTCTGGATATGAATCAGGCTCATTCCTCTGCCAACATGTTGCCTGAAAGCCAGCAGGAACAGCATTGAAAGAATCACTTCTGAGGGCTAATTTCTCCTACTACAGCTCCAATGCAGAACATAGGCAGGGATGGCACATGCCAGCAAACAGGATTTTGGAGAATATTTCTGCCAACCCCTAATAAACCTCTGAACATGTGTCAACTGCTTTTAAAGATTTAAAACTTCAGCAAAACATAAGTGGATTTTCACAGGGACAGTAGAAGGCACAGGACTACCAACCTAGCAACCTGTGATAAAGTTTCAGTCTCTGCTTCAAAAAAAAAGGGAGGGAAGGAGAGAGAGCCTGAAATTTTTCAACAGAGCTATAAGTAATGGAAAAACAATTTTCTAATGAAAAATGTTAGGCAACCTTACTCATACTAACTTAACACTACCTATATCATGTATAATAAAGGAAGGTTATTTATAGAAAATTACTTACAAACTGGACTCACCCAAACAATCTGCATATTAATATAACTAAATACAAGTTTATATATCTAGAAATAAAGAATGTAGGTGATAGCTGGAAACAGTACCCTGGAAAAGACTAACTGAAAAGAACAATTCTTCTTGGTAGATAAGTGGTTCAAAATAATCTCCCAGTGAGCTTCTGCAACTAAGAGACTATCTAGTAGGAGAAGACATATGACATAACCTCTCTGTAGAGCAGTGATAAAACTATTAATGTCCAGATCATGAGACCTCACATCATGAAATATGTTGAAAAAAACTAACAAGGATTCAGAAAAGGACCATAAAAATATGTAAGAACTGGAAAATGCGTTACAGTGAAAAGTTGGGGAAGCCATATTTAGTTTACCCAAGAAAAGTTTAAAGAGGTTAGTGCTCTCTTCTCTTCTTTCTTTCGTATGACATCAGATATCAACTTCCAAATCTATGAGCCACTGTCTGGTAAGAGGTTGGCTGATCACAACCTATATGTTGTTACATGGTAAGAAAATAAAGAACTTTTTAATCAACAAAATCCCTCCTTAGAAACTGAAGCTAGGTAAGTTCATACATAGGAGAGGTACATTTTTTTTAAGCTAGGATGATTAACTACTGAAACAACCTACAAAGATTCCTCACCACTTGAAATCTTCAAAGCATGAGTGTCTTAATTTTAACACGTGCTCTTGCTCAAATGATGTTTAGACTTCATGCACAAATTACTGTGTGAAAATTGTGTTATGCAGGAGGTCAGGCTAAATGATCACTATGGCCCCTTCTGTCCTTGAAATATATTAATCTAGTTTGCTAAAGAGACACTTCACTGTTGTTGACAGAATAAAATAACGCTGTATTCTTTCATGTTAATCACTCCCCCTCAAAGTGCACCATCAGCTCCATACAGTTGTATTCTGTTTCAGAACACTTTTGCTTACATCAGTCAAGAGGCATGTAACAAGTACTGTTACATATCAGCATTTTTTCTGTTTTAGAGAAAGAGCCATCATTTTCATTCATGTTTTACCAACCAGAAAAATAGAAGCTTTAATATTTTATATTTCTAAATATTTTTTCAAACATCAGGTAGGCTTCACAACCTCTTTAGAAGGTAGGGAAATGTTATCCCTATTTCACTGACAAGATGTATTAAGCCACTTAAAATTACCTTGACAGTCTAGCAAAAGGCAAAATAGGGCATATTACAGTTGCTTTCACTAACAGGTCAATCTGCATCACAAGAATTAGTAACTGTCCATCAGGTCATTTGCCTCTCCAGAAGCATTTGATTATTTTATGAAGCAGCCCTTGATCCCATTTCAAATTAGAAAGAAAGAGAACCACAACTCTTAATCTTTACCTGCTCCTGTACATCTTCAAACTCTGAGCTGAGCAGCTCTATGAAGATGGGGACAGCTCCTGCTTGAATCACAATTCGAGTCTGAAGGGAATTTCCAGAGGCAATGTTTGTCAGCACCCAAGCAGCTTCAAACTGAAACATAAAATACAGGGAAATGCTCACCATCAGCAGAAAGTTTAAATGCATTCTATAAGAAAGCAAGCATAAGACAAAAAACACAGAGTAACTAAACAGCTAACTCTGCTAAATTTGCAAACAATTTCAAGTATCAGAATCATATGGAATTGAAGTCATAATTGCAGGAATGATTTATAAACATAACATCACATTTTCCATGCAATCTCAGTTATAATTTATTTTTGCTCAGAAGTTCCACAGCTTTTGCTTTATCCCATTTCTTTTTTTCATTGCCAAAGGGAACAACATGCAAGAGGAATTCTTCCGTATGATTTTTCACAAGGCTTGAGTTTTCAGGGCCTCTCAAGTTTCCAGCATATTGCACAAAGTAGGGACTGATGTACCTGAACAAATACATACTGAGAACCAGTGAAGCATAACTGAAGTTTGCTCAACACAATTTAGTCGCTCTCAAAATTTGGGGTGCCATTTTCAAATCCAGTAAGAATGAAGATTAAAGAACTTGCTAACATCTTTACAAGTTCTTTTGCCCTCGGTTACAGCCTGGCATCACCCTTCAGTTGGAGTATAATTCTTTGAGTAAAAAATTAGTAATATATGATGTCTGTGAATTAAACTGAGACCGCGATTTAAATCGTCTTGTGGATGTTAAGAATGACAAATATATTTTGTGCTATAATGTGATACAGGTAATAACCCTCTTTTTTGATAGGTTCAAGCTACTAAAGCTACTAGGTTCTCCCAGTATTCAAGCCTCTTTTCTTGTGATAGTGTAAATTATGGTTTTAGCTGCGATAGTCCAGACACTATACAGGAGGCTAATTTCTTCTGCTAACTGTTGGTCTGTTACCCCTGAGAATTTCTCCCTTCTTCAATACCACAGCTCTGCCTATTGTGCTTAGTTACTACTGTGCATGTTTCCCTCCTCAGACCCGATGAAGAATGCTTAGCATTCAAAAAGCCTGTCTAACTTTTCCCCAACAATGCAGTAGGGTCCAATAAAATGTATCAACCTAAAAAAAAAATCTGTCTCTCTCTCATAATTCCTGGACCATCATAGCTACAACCTCACTCCAACATTACCAAATATATTGATGTATTTTTGTTCAATATATGTCAATCCCTTGGTCTTGTCATGGGGTGAGCCCATGACAAAAGGTGAGCTCAGAGACCCAGAGTCTCTCTCTACTGCTCTACAACATATCCTTGGGACTTTGACTGAATCTTGCTTCAGGGCCAACTCTTCTCCTAGTAAATCTCTGTCTAACCAGTAGTCCGTCTGGACCTTACAGCTTTGTGGACAACTATCTCCCAGGCTCCTAAGACTCCCTGGGATTACAAAATAAAATGGGCCGGCTGCCCCTGAAGGAACAAAATGCCAACTGCTGCCAGCCACCCTGAAATCACTCATCACCAAACAAAATAGAAGGTAAAAAGCCAAAACAGATTTATTATGCAAGACAGAAAAATATAAAGCAAGAAAGTTTGGAGACAAATACAAAACAAAACCAGAAATATCTCTGCTGCTTCCCCAAACAAAGCAGGCTCCTGGTGATCTCTGTGCTTCCACAAGCTAGCAATCCTGCTAGCTTATTAAGGTAATGCTCCAGCCTACTTTGCTCTTTTCTCTAAACTCAACATCCTTCCCCTCTTCCACCAAGAGACTTTTCCTTAAATACCTAATTGTGTCTCCTTCATCTAATTCTTTATTCTGTTCAAGGAGGACAGACCTATTCCCTCAAACAGACATCTGCCTAACAAGTTAATACATCTTCTTTGGTATGCGTTTGATGCATTTTCCTTCTGAAGTGCATTTGGACAATTTCTGACTGGAAAGCTTCTTAACACAATAACCGCCTGACAGTCAAAGAGGGTTAGATCAGTGATTTTTAAAGGGCATGCAGTGGCACACTAGTGTGCCGTAACAGTGGCGGAAGTATGTCATTAAAAGTGGGCTAGGATGGGGCTGAAGCCACACCAACCCAGCATGTAGAGAATGAGCCAACAGACCAGATCTGGCCTATGGACTAGCGAGCGCAGCGTGCCTCGAACTGAGCATGTTCCTCATTCCCCGCATTTCATTTGTCCCAAGAGGCTCAGCATCCCCCAAAACACCTCTCAAGAAACTGGACAGTGAAATCAAGCAGCTCCTGAAGAAGTGGATGTACTTCTAGCTAAGTGGATGTACCTGCAGCAATGAGATCTTGCACATCCCCTACTGGCAGGGGGATGCCAACATCTCCTGAATGGGAGACCTCTATATTATCACCTGTGCCTTCTGCCTCCTAACTTTGTCCCAATAACCTGGCAAGCAGCATCACTGCCAGTGCTCTGAAGGAGACAACCAAGAAAAGGATCACCACACAAGGACCTGGACACATTCTTGAGTGGGTCGCTGGAGGGTGAGTTCAGGCCCAACTATCAACTGAATCACTGTTACCCACTGAATCAGGATCTGCCTGGAGAGGTTTCTGAAGGATGCTGTGCAGGTCAAGTACTTCAGTGACCTGAAGGCAAAACCTGACCAGGGCAAAAACCTTTGAGGTCACCTTGAAGTGGGATGCCAGCAACTACTTTATGCCTTGAGGGAACTTCACACATGTTGCAGACTGGCACTTCATCCACTGGGCCTGTCCCAAATGCCTCCCACTCAAATGCCTCCCTCTGGGCCTGTCCCAAATGCCACCCAACGATGCCATCGCTACAGCCACAGGAGACCAGAAGTGCCAGAGGTGCAGCTATGAAAGCAAGACCCTGTGCCACATCCTGTTCAGCTGTGAGTCTCATGCAAGAGCCTGGCAACTCCACCACAAAGCCATGCAGGACCAGCTGATGAATACCATCTCGCAACAGTAGCTGCAGCCCCCCCCCCCTTCCCCCCCACACCCCCCCCCCCCCCCCCCTTCCCCCCCCGCTTGCAGCAGCAGCTCATATAGGAGCAGGACAAATTCGTGCTGGAGATTTTTGCCTCATCAAACATGCCTGAACGTGTACTTTGGTGTGGGGCAAATTGTGCCACTTGGGGCAAACTGACCCTGCCCAGCTCCTCCCGGATCTTCAGCCGGTATGAAGACATGCATCCAGCTTTTTTGCCACAGCTATACCAGGGGCACACCCGGCAGAGGGAGGCGGTGCAGGAGCACCGCCAGCAGGAAGTGCTAGAACTGGAGAGGCGCCTGGCCACTGACCCAAGCAACCCATCCCTCTGCGGAGAGTGTCGGGAGAGGTGGGAAGAGCTTCATGCTCTGGACGACCACCATGCCCATGGTGCGTTTGTCTGCTCACACGTCCAGCTCCTTCAGGAAATGGACCATGGCTCCCGCTTCTTCTATGCCCTGGAGAGGAGGCAGGGGGCCACCTGCCTTCTGGCAGGTGACAGCACCCCCCTCAGGGATCCAGGTGAGATGCGCCAGCACGCGCGGGCCTTCTATGAAGAGCTCTTTTCCCTGGATCCAACCAATGCCAAAGCCTGTCAGACCCTGTGGGAGGGACTCCCACAGGTCAGCATGGATGACTGGGACCGGCTGGAAGCTCCTCTCACTCTGGCCAAGTTTTCGGTCACCCTCCGCCTGATGCCTGGCAACAAAGCACTGGGCATCATTGGGCTGACCGTGGAGTTCTACCGGGCCTTCTGGATGTCCTCAGCCCAGACCTCGCCACAGTCTGAGCCAAATCTGCCTGTGGTGGGGAACTCCGCCTGTCCTGCCGAAGGGCCATGCTAACCCTCCTGCCAAAAAAAGAGGATCCCTATGACCTGAGGAACTAGTGTCCTGTGTCCCTCCTCTGCATGGACTACAATGTAGCAGCGAAGGCTATCTCGCTGCGCCTGCGGTCCGTGCTGATGGACATGATCCATCCCAACCAGACATACATGGAGCCTGGACGTTCCATCTTTGACAACCTGTACTTGGTTTGGGACCTCCTGGAGCTAGCGCGCTGGGAGGGCCTGTCTTTCACCCTCCTATCCCTGGACCGGAAGACATTTGACAGAGTGGATCATGGGTACCTCACAGGCATGCTGCAGGCCTTTGGCTTTGGGCCCCACTTCGTGCCGGCTCTCTAGGTGCTGTACACCTCTGCCAAGTGTTTGGTCAAGCTCAACTGGACCCTGGCAGAGCACATCCCATTCAGGAGAGGGGGGAATCAAGGCTGCCCACTGTCAGGCCAGCTGTACACCTTGGCCCTGGAGCCCTTCGTCATTCTCCTGCGGAAGCGGGTGGCAGTGCTGATGCTCTGGGAACTGGCAGTACGGCTGGTCCTGTCAGCGTATGCTGACGACATAGTCCTCGTGGTCCAGGACTCAGGTGATCTGGTGTAGATGGAAGCCTGCCAGGCACTGTACTCGGCAGCCTCCTCTGCCCAGGTCAACTGGGTCAAGAGCTTTGGCCTGGTGGTGGGTGATGGATGGCAGGTAGGCTCACTCACACCCATGTTCTGTAGGATCCGCTAGAGCATGGGCTCGCTGCTCTACTTGGGGGTCTACCTGTTCCCCACAGACCCCTCCACAGCAGAGAACTGGCACCAGCTGGAGGTAAAGGTGGTGGAGTGGCTCCGGGCATGGGCAGGGCTCCTGAGATGTCTCTCCCTGCATTGGAGAGTGCTGGTGCTGTCCATCCCCTGGCGCCTCTTACACACCCTGCCTGTGCCCCCTGAGGTCCTGGAGGGACTCCAGATACGGGCACTCGAGTTTTGCTCACTGGGACGGCACTGGGTGGCTGCAGAGGTCCTGAGCCTCCCCTTGCAGGAGGACAGCCAGGGCCTGGTTTGCCTGCGCAGCCAGGTCCTAGCATTCCACCTTCAGGCCCTACAGCAACTGCTATATGGTGTTGGCAGCCACGCAGCATGGAGCCACCTAGGGTGTGCTTTCCTCCACCACTCCTGGTGACTCCAATATGACTGGCAGCACCTCAGCTTGCGGGGCTTCTCTCTGCAGGACTTGCGAGGGCTGCCAGATTTCTACCAGGACCTCCTCTGGGCCTGAAGGCTGGTCTCCA